AGAATTTCGAACTCTCCTGTATTGAAGCTTGTGCTGAGCATGCTGGCAGATTCAGCTTGTTAAGAAAGCTTAGTTAATTGGCATCTACTATCCAGAAATGGAATAAGAATTCTTTTGGCAATCATGATGAGAGGCTTTCGCAGATTCAAAGCTGACTCCAGTAACTGGAAAAAGAAAAGGGAGAGTTGTTCTCTAAGTCATCAGGAGATCTCTTAATGGCATGAACTTAGCTATAAACAGTGGACATTGAATAAATACGTGGAAGCCATTTAGAGGCAAAAGTCTCAACAGACATTGTGTAAACCAGGAGATAGAAATATCAAATTTTTCCACTTAACAACCAGTATCAGATAGGGAAAAAACAATATAACAGTGATTTTATTTGACGGAGTAACACACACTACACCACATACAATTAAGGCTGCTGCTGCTGCGTATTTTTCAAGTCTGGGTTCTACAAGGTCACAAATGGGTTTGGTTGGGTTCAACAAACTTTCTTTTGCACAGTCTGTTGAGCTGGAACAGTCAATGACCATCTCATGTATACGACACCTTGGCGATCGTCCACTCTCAAGTTGGGTATCTGGGAAAATTAGGAAAATAGTGGAGACAAGAATTCCTTATCTATTTTCTATAATTAAAAGTCTTCATATAGTATTTTAATTATTAGCAACCCTAATTAATTTTAAAAATCACCATATTATTATTTTCAACTTTAATAACAAGAACTAAATCAATATTTCAAAAATTTCAAAAAAATATTTTGTTTTCATTTAGTCTTTAGGATTACAAATTTATATATAAGACGTATTCCCAATACTAAAAAGGTAAATACGCTTTATTGATATTTATACAATTAAGCTTTACTCAACAAGATAAAAATCTTTTTACTGAGGAGGACTTATCTTAAATCTTAAACAGACTAACAAATAGAAAACACGATAATACCTTAGAATATATTAGACAATTAAATAATACAGCTTATTTTATATAGGATGTGTTTGAGGTGCTGATATCTTTTTGTTATGCAATCAGTCCCTGTACCCGATTTTTAAGACTAGTTAGAATTTCTAATAACTAAAATAATTGGGGACGACTCTTGACTCTTATTTCGTGTATACATTGATAAAAGACAAGGAATTATTTTCCTGATTTTCCTGGATACCCAACCGGAGAGCAGACAATTGCCATGATGCCCGTGCGACAATGACAATGGATGAATTTAGAAGAGTTGTTTGGGATTGTGATGGCTCAAAGGCTCCTAGGCCTGATGGATTCTTATTCAGCTTTTACAAGACAACTTGGCCATTGATTGGAGACGAGTTATTTCGTGTGGTGTCTGAATTTTTGAAAATTAACAAAAAGTGTTAACACTTCTTATATTACGTTGGTGCCTAAGAGCACACACCCAACAAAATTCATGGAGTTCATACCAATCAGTTTGATTCATGATGTGTACAGAATTGTTGGGAAGTTGTTCTCGTCACAACTACAAACTATTTTAACTACTATTATCAGTCCTTATCAAACAACTTTCATTTTCAGGAGGTGGATGGGTTCATGATAGCTAATGAGGTTATCCTTTGTCTCAAGAAAGGTGGTGGGGAAGGGTTCCTACTAAAAGTCGACTTCAACAAGGCCTTTAATTCAATTAACTGGTCTTATTTAGAAGAAATGATGATGTATGTGAGATTTGGAGACAAATGGATATCATTAGTTCATAAATTTATTTTAGGATCACAAATGGTAATTCTCATTAATGGCTCTCCAATTCAAGAATCTCGGCCTAAGTGTGGTTTACTCCAAGGTGATCCACCATCACCATTGCTATCTAACATTGCAGTTGAAGGACTCTGAGTTCTTTTTCAAAGGGCTTCGACAACACAATACTTTTAGGGCATTGAGTCAATCAGTCATCTCCAATATGCAGACGACACTTTGGTGTTTATGCAAAATGAGTATAGCTCTTTAGTTAATGTTAGAAGGATCCTATGATGATTCGAATTGACGTCAAGATTGAAAGTTGACTTTCATAAGAGCTCTCTTGTCGGTATTAGTCTTATACAACTGATATGGCCAATATAATACACTGTAAATGGGACATATTTCGAATCAGATACTTGGGACTACCCTTGGGTGAAAATCCGAAGAGAATTTCAACTTGGAAGCAGGTTGTTAGTAAATTTTGCACTAGACTAGGAAGATGGAAGGGAGGGTCTCAAAGTTTAGCAGGACGTGTCTGCCTTGTCAAAACTGTTCACTCCTCCATGCCATTATATTATTTATCAGTGTTTTTGTTGCCGCAGGGGGGTTGCCAAGGTGCTTACACCAATAAAAGTTTTTGTGGAGTGGTGTTTCATCTGGAGCGAAAATGTGCAAAGTGGCTTGGAGTGTTGTAATTAGGTCCAGAAACATGCGAGGTTTATGATTGGGATCATTACGAAAGGAAGAATAGAGCACTGCTATTCAAGTGACTTTAGCATTCAAGGGATAATCATCTAGGTGGGTGGCATGATTTTATTCGCAGAACATACTGCCCTGCTTTTGAAATTGGACTTCCTCGATCATTAATTTAGACAACAATTTCATCGTCATTGAAGAATAGTTACAATTATCTGGTTCTAAATTTGTTTTTTTGGTAGTTATTAGTTTGAAGCGGATAATTTTTATTGCCATTAAAATTTTTTATAATTATTAATTTTAAAATTTATAAAATTAATTAAAATACATGTAAGTTTACTCGAATAAAAAGAATAGCTACAGCTACACACTTGTTAATGGGGAGACAATCTAATTCTGGAAGGACAAATGGATGGCAGCCGGTCCTCTTAACATTTGTTTCTCATCACTATATGCAATTTCAGCACGACCTTCCATTTGTTTAACTGCAACGAGAGAGAACATGTTAGAGACCACTGTATGGAATTTTGGAATGGATAAGGCTACTTTTGCCTTTTGAGGAGATACAGCAGACACATCTACGTGCTCTGTTGTCATTAGTAAAACATTAATACAAGAAAGGCAGGTTAAAAAAATGAGGAACATTTTGGTGATGGACTCTATATTGTTCGGTCTGCCAATAATTTAATTGACCATCTGGGATTCAGGTTCGTTTTCTTTTGCAAACTTGCCATTGAAAAATGTTTTGCTCCTCCTAAGATTGATGGAAGTCCTGGAATTGTTTCATGGCCTATCTTGGATTCACTTAGTCTCTTGTTATCTAGTTTTTAATCTGATGTGTTTTTTTTAAAAAATAACAATAGAAAACAACAAAAACATCAAATATATTTGTATTGTTTTTTGCATTTTCAGTCTTATTTAAAAAAAATAATTTTTCAAAAGTTTTTTTAAACATGTCAAACTTTTAATATATTATTTTTAAAATTATTATTTTTACTTATTATTGATGTTGCTTGTTTTTAAAAAATTTTAAAAATAAAAAATTAGAATTTATATATATATAAAAAAAACAAGTTTGGGGACTAAGCCACTCTTTCCCAGTAAATAGGGGAAATAACACACACAACAGGGGCAATTGTGGGCTGAAATGTCAGAGGGAACCACCAAAACCGTAAACCTAAATCTTCTTCTGCCCCGGCCGCCGCTCTCCGTTCGCAAAACCAAAGATTCCTCTGCCTTTTTCAACAACCGGATCCCTCCCATTCCATCTCCATTCTTCTCCTTCTAACCGTCACTGTCCCCGCCATTCCCAAAACCAAACCAGAGAGCCCTGCACCCTTTCTCTAGTCCCCACAGCCAACAGATCTTCACTCCCTCAGTTGCCCCTATTCTCCTTCATCTTTCCACCACAGACCAGCCACACCGCCTAACTCTCCCTCTTCCCCAGACGGCTCTCCACCTCACCAGACCATCCCTCTCTCGGCCATTCCTTCCTCTTCCCATCTCCGGCCTGCACAGACCATCTCCCATGGACTTGAAACGGACCAGAACCAGAGCCGCCTCCTTTCACCCTCCTCTCAGACAATCTTTGACATCAACCTCTAGCCCTCAGTCAACTGCTTCCCATCCCACAGAACCCGCCGACCACAACTTTTCCCTCTCTCGGCCACAACTTTTCCCATCTCTTCCGATCTCTTCATCCCAAAGCCCTTTACTGCTAAGAACGACAACAGAAGCCTAGTCATGCCAGCAACCTCTTGATCTTACCGCCAGCAACCTGAAAAATAGAAGGAGGCAAAGCCAAAAGAAAAAAAAACAGATATGTGGGGAGAAGCATATCTAATAACCGAGAAGGAAAGGGGACCAAAACTTGTTGCATCTTTTCTTTTTGCAGGTGACGGTGAATAGGGGAGGAAGTCGTTCCAGGTCGCCCCCGTCTCGTGGAATTTCTTGTGGCGATGCGTGAATCCACGAGGCGGGGGTGATCTGGAATGAAAAAGACAAAAAAAATAATAAAAAGATAAAAAAAAAAAGAATGAACTTTTATGTATGTTTTCTTTTAATGTTAAACCCAAAATGACAAAAAATATAAAATATAAAAAAATAAATGAGATGTTTTAATTGCACACGCTAGTTCTCTCCAACAATATAAAATATTGCATGGTATTTTAAGATTTAATAATCAATTATTAAAGCTTCGATAATTTAGTTAATATTTAAAAATAAAATACTAACAAATATTTTATTTCTTTTAATATTTAGGCTTTCAGTTTGGTTAAAGTCATTGATACCAATGTTTTCGTACATTTTTGTTGGTCTCTCTTTAATATTTTTCAGGCAGAACTTCATATATTTAATGGAGTTGTGTAATCATCATTACAATTGGACTATTGTAAAAATATATATTTACAAAGACATCATCTCCACTCTTGCAAGGAAGGAGAATCATGCCTAAGAAACAAATAAAAAAGGAGGTCGCCGGCGGATTAATTTTCCTTTAAAAAATTAATGCCATTGATTGTCTCATGCATGCATGTTGATGGCAAGAGAATGACAAATATATGAAGAAATAAACATTGCAATTTAAACTTCTGATACATTGAAAACCTGATCAAACATATATGACATATATGATGAAGAGAATGTGAGGAAATGAAATGATTTACAACATCACGAAAGCTTATAGAGGAACCTACTATAATCATGAACGCACCATAATTTCTATCAGACTATTAGTGTTTACAAACACAAACCACACTTAGCTACAAAGAAACCATGTAATAAATTTCTTAACTACCAAGAAGCACTAGCTGTAGATTGATCAGATGCAAGAAAACATGATCCTGACAAAGATGCTGAAGACTGATGAGACAGGACTGAAGTAAATTTAACCGGAGATTTTGGACCTGTTGATGGTTGGGGAAGGTTTACAGCATTACTTCCAAGCATGAGAACAACTAATGACATGGTTGGCCTACGCGCAGGATCATCTTGAACACAAAGTAATGCAATATGGATCCATCTCAAAGCCTCACTTACTGGACAAGAGTCGATTATATTTCTGTCTATCAACTCCTTTCCTGTGCCTTCATTCCACAGCTGCCAGGCCTGTTCAGGGTATATAAATTTCAGGATCAGAGATATTGTATTCATGTTAATGTTGAATTGATATAAGGTTCAGTAAGAAGAGGGTTTTACATGTAAGAGGAGGCTTTGGGCTTGATTTTGGCTGTAGAAACCTCTGTTCTTTTTACCAGTAATGATTTCTAACAACAGGATTCCGAAGCTGTAAACATCTGACTTTGTTGAAATCATTCTGGTGCCATGTATCCACTGCTCAAGAAAAATAATTACTACATCAAATTGAGTGGAGGACAGTAAAGGTTACCAGATGATTCTCATTCTCGTATTATTTATAGGAATTAATATGAAGGAAATGGACTTACAATGTGCCAACAACTTTGTTAGTGTTGGCCTCAAGTTGATTCCCTCCGAAAATTCTTGCAGTGCCAAAGTTTGATATCTTTGGGTTCATCTGATCATCCAACAAGATATTGCTTGCTTTCATATCACGGTGTACGATTTTGAGTCTAGAGTCTTCATGTAGATACTGCCGGCCCCTTGCAGTTCCTGATATAATATTAGCACGCTTTGGCCAGTCGAGTTCCCTACTTTTCTTTGGATCTGTCTTCACAAAGGAAATGATAAGGAAACTCCATTCGGTGGTAGAAGTGGATGCATACAATTAGAAAAAAAATGGGAAAACTATGAGAGCGATAGAAAGCAAACCAAACAGGAAGGCATCAAGGCTTGTGTTTGCCAGGTACTCATAGACAAGAAGCTTTTCATCTCCTTCCAAGCAATATCCCAACAGCCTTACAAGATTTTTGTGCTGAAGTTTAGCGATGACCATCACTTCATTTCTGAATTCTTCAAGACCTTGTTTTGATACCATGGAAAGCCTTTTGACTGCTATTTCTTCTCCAGCAGGAAGAATGCCCTGAAGTTTTGAAGTTCAACTATTAATAACATTTAGTATTGAGTACTAGAAGATTACAAGAGAATAGTATTGGGATCTGAACCTTGTAAACTGGGCCAAAACCTCCTTCTCCAAGCTTATTTTCATCAGAGAAATTGTTTGTAGCTAACCTTATGGTCGTCAAATTGAAGTAATGCATTTGTTCACCATTGTCATAACCGGTAATAGGCAATTCTCCTTCATTCAGGTAGCTGTGATTTGAATTTTCTCGTAATAGAATTTCTTGGCTTCTTTCCTCCTCTTGAATAACAAGTCAATTTGACACCAAAGATTAAATTAAAATCTTAATTTACAATTTCATACATTAATCTAATGACAATTTCACACCAAAGATTAAATTAAAAGCTTAATTAGTTACTCTTATATTGTTTATCTACTTGTTCTTCTTGGCCCTTTCCAGCATGAAAAATACCAGAACAGCAAGAGAGCAACAGCTACAGCTAATGATGATACTACACTAGCAATCACAATCATAGTTGTATTGTTCCCTCCATTTCCTCCTGAAATGTTAAAGAATAATATAAATCATTTTTTAGAACCTCATCTAACCACTTAAACTTTTGAGTTGAGATAATTTTTTGACATGATATTAGAACCTTGATGACCAAACGGTCACGAGTTTGAATCTCACCATCTCTATTTATGTGATAAAAATTAAGTACAAAATAGTGTAGATCTGTGTAAGTTTCAAGTCCAAAGAATTTCCACTTGAGGGGCGTGTTAGAGAATAATATAAATCATATCTTGGGACCCCACTTAATAACTTAAAATTTTGGGTTGAGATGATTTTTTGATAAGGAATTAGTTGAAGGTTATTCTATAAGATCACTTGGAAAGGATAAGGGAGTGAATTTTGTTCTATTGATTTTAATGAGTTTTGTGAAGATTATTGACACGACTAAAAGATTAATGTCTTCTCCCAAGTGTAGGAGTGTCGAAGTAATAAATAACCCGGCAAGACCGGGGTCGAACCACAGGGAGATTAATTGTACAAATTATAAATAACAATAATACAACAACAACAATAATAATAACAATAATAACAACAACAACAACAACAACAACAACAATAATAATACTAATAATATTAATAATAGTATTAATAGTAATAGTAATAATAATAATAATAGTAATAATAATAATAAATAAAAAGAAGGATAAGAAGAAGAAGAAGATGATGATGATAATAACTTTGAGATGGAATATTAATGTAAGGATTAAACAATGATAATAACAAATGTCAAGGTCAGAGGTTCCACTAATGGTATGTCAAACAAGTATAGTATAAAGTCTTATTATTCAATTGGAAACCACACACAAAGGAGGTTTCAATTTGATTATAGATTGTTAACATGATTACATTAGTCATCTTATTTGATTAATGTTAATACTTGTAAATCTCGTCAAGCATTCATGATTATAACTTATGTTAACAACAAATCAAGTTCCTTTCATAGCTCAGGTGTCGGTTATACCATACATTATGGGCTATGAAAGTGCCAAGCAACTTATGTTAACAACAAATCAAGTTCCTTTCATAGCTCAGGTGTCGGTTATACCATATAGTATGGGCTATGAGAGTGCCAAGTATTTGTTGTACCAAGTGTTATACAACATAAATCAAGATTAGTCATTTAACAAGCAAAGTATTAAAGAATGAACAAGATAACAAATACAAAATATGTTAGTATCAAATATTAAAGTCCATATTAAGTTTACACTATACTTATTATTACACTATTAGTATAACCTTTTCACCTTGACATAATAAACTTAGCTAGACATAATCAAAGAAAGAAAAATAAATAAACAAAATAAGAACATAAATAAGATAAAAGTTAACTAAGTAAATGAAAGGAAATGAAAGGAAATGAAAGGCATAAACTTGATATTAATGAAAGCAAGTGTTATACAACATAAATCAAGATTAGTCATTTAACAAGCAAAGTATTAAAGAGTGAACAAGATAACAAATATAAAACATGTTAGTATCAAACATTAAAGTCCATATTAAGTTTACATTATACTTATTCTTACACCATTAGTGTAACCTTTTCACCTTGACATAATTAACTTAGCTAGACATAATGAAAGAAAGAAAAATAGATAAACAAAATAAGAACATAAAAGTTAACTAAGTAAAGGAAAGGAAATGAAAGGCATAAACTTAATATTAATGAAAGCAAAGCATAAACATTACAAAAAATACAAAGAGAGAAAGGAAGAGCATGATCTTGATCTGGAAACCAAGATGCCTAAATGCATGGCAAATGCCTCCTTTTATAGGCCAAAATTGGGAACTATTGATTTGATGACTAATTGATAAGTGGGTGGCCAACTTTTGACCCTTTGTCATTCTAGCCTTATCCTCAAGATAATCCTTATCTTCTTCAAGATAATCCTTACCTTCAAGATAATCCCTATCTTTTTCAAGATAATCCTTATCTTCTTCAAGATAATTCTCAAGATAATGATAGTTGTCTGCTTTCGAATTCGATTCTAATTCGAACTTCAAAAAAGAGAATGAGTTTGATTGAGACTTTACTTCTCGCAAGGGATGAGACTCTTGTACTATAAATACAGATCTCAGGAGTCAAAAAAAGCAAAGGAATAACACAGGGGACTAAAAAAAAAAACAGAGAAGAAGCCGGGGAAGGACGCCAAGACACAGACGAAGACGGGGGATTTTTGGGACCGAAAACCAGAGGAGAGAACTGGAGCAAAACCCATAGAAAAACCAGAAGAAAACAGAGCAAACGAAACAGAACCAAAAAAGGAAAATATAGAGAGAACCGAAACATCAACCCAAATTTCATCCCAGCAAGAAGAAACTAGTTTTCATCAAAAAAAAAATATACACAGAAAAGGAGAGAAAGGGAGAGGGCCACGGATCAACCCTGTTTTCTGTCCCTGAAGAAACCAATTGATCACCAAACCATTGGTTATTGATAGAAAGAAATCGAACCAACACCGGCGTTGCAACCTTCCTCAGCATTGCCAGAAACCGAAATTCAAAGCCACACCCGCATATAACCTTCCTCAGCATCGCCAGAAACAGAACACAACAGAATCAAAGCAGTTGCACTAGCGTTGCAAACTTCTTCAATCGTCAGAAACA